TTTTTCAGCACAGAGATTTTTTTAAAAATAGAGTTTATTGTGCCAATCTGGTCAGTAGCCACAAAGGAGTAAATAACTACTTTACATCCTGCTCTGAACAAGTGTATAGCTGCACCATAGCATAAGTAGGACAAGAGGGATAGATGAAAAAAATGTTATTTTACTAGCTCTGTGTTGTAATCCTTTTTGTTCATTTTGGGCAGAAGGTGGATGGAAGCAGTTTGCTAATATTAAATCTGGGTGCTTGTTTACATGGCCCCACAGTTTCACACTATGGGGACATGGATTGCTGAATGCACTAGTGCGATGTACAGAGAATGCTGCTAAACAATGAATGAACAAAAAAGGTATATAGTTTGTATTATGTAGTCCTGATTAAAGAGGCCTGTGTCAATAGGTGTGGTTCACATCCATAGTGGGTGAATTACAGTGCAGCACACTAGTGCACAGTGTGATTCACACCACCATATTCTGAACTGTAGAGCCATGTGCACATAGTGTTAGTCACCTGTTAGCGTGGTTTCTTAACAGCAGGTCTAAGACCTCAATGATGGATTAAAATTCTTCCTCCAATCCTCCTCCATGCTCCCCACACCTCCACATAGTGAAATCTTGCTGGTCTGGATCAAGAAGGGTAGAATTTGGGAGAATGAAACATACAGCTCTTGCGCAAGCCCCAAACTGACTGTAGTACAAGGGTTTACCAGCTGTCAAGGCTAATTCACCACTCTGGCATGATGAATGCAGAAGTGGGGGCCTGTAAAAGTCCCCCAAAACCTTATGTTTCCAGGCTTTAGTATAAAACTTCCCCCCAAAATCCTAAAAACCTAGATTTTGGGGATAAAAATCTACTGCCACCATCAAGTGCTTTTGAACCCACAAACAGGAGTGGACACTTGAAACCAACCCAAGGGAACCCCAAGCTTTTTTCCACAAAGAGCTTGAAAAAGAAAAGGGAAAATACCAATTGCAGTCTGTGGTCACTGCCCTCTAGTCAGAGGTATGCAGATATCCACAGACAGATTTTCCAGGACAATTTCATGAACCAATACCAGGTTAATAAAAAAAGAAAGACATTTTATTATCAAAACAACACTTCTGTTTGGGAACCCGGAAGTGCTCAGGGCAGCCGGACAATTGGAGCTGCTCTGTGCCCGGCTTCCTCGATTCAGCCGCTGCTGAAACTGACCAGCAGCTGAATCGGGGAAGCTGGGGGCAGAGCAGCTGAGGTGCTGCCGGGTTGGTCCCCCAGTGCTGCCCCTC